AACGTTTTCAGAGTCTCAAAGTCGAAACTTTTCAACGCTATAATTGTGCCATTGATCTCGTTTATATTTAAAAAAGAAGTTACACCAGCAGTCTTCCGATCAAGTGAATATGTAACCGCCGCATTTTCACCTCCATCAGCATCACGCGCGCTCACCGAAAAAATGGACAGACCAGGCTTGTTATTTTCAAGTACATAAAACGTGTAAGGGCTTTCAGTGAACACGGGACTGTTGTCATTGATATCCAGCACGTCTACTTTTATCACCTTTGCAGATGACATGGCGGGCCTTCCTAAATCCTTGGCTGTAATTGTGATATTGTACATATGTGTCTTCTCTTTATCCAGGTAGTCCTTGGTGACCAAAGAGTATGACTGTCCGTCCTGTGATGGCTTTAAGTCAAAAGGTAAATCCCCTGGTATGCTACACACCACCTGTCCATTCACACCTGAGTCAAGATCCGTCACACCCATCAAGGCTACCACAGTCCCCGGAGAGGCATTCTCCGGAATGCGACTTGAAAGAGATGTGATGTCAATTTCGGGGTGGTTATCATTCACGTCTTCCACCCTGACAATCACGTTGCAGTGTGTGGAGAGAGAGACGGTGCCCTTGTCAGCAGCCTGTATCTTCATCTCGTAAACCTGTTTCTGCTCGTAATCAAGGGGCTCTTTCAATGTCAAGTCACCCGTTTTGCTGTTCAGATCAAATTCAGGCGAGATTCCTCTGAGTTTACTTCTAAAATAATATTCAATCTCGCCGTTAACCCCTTCATCTGAATCAGACGCATGCACTGTCAGCAGAAAAGTCCCCACAGGTGCATCTTCCCTTATCGTTACTGTGTATTTTTGTTTGTCACACACTGGCGAGTTGTCATTTACATCAGACACAATGACTGTGATATTTATTATACCTGATTTTCCTGGTTTCCCTCCATCTGTAGCTGTTAATTGAAGCCAGTGTTGAACTGTGTGTTCTCTATCCAAAGGTCTCTGTAACACTAGGAATGGAACCTTGCCTTCCTCCCCAAATTCCTCCGTTTCCAGACGGAAATACTGGTTATGGTTCAGTTTATATGTATGTATGGAATTAATATCGACGTCCTGGTCGTGGGCTCCGTCCATCTGAAATCGAGATCCAACTATGGCAGACTCCAGCACCTCCAATGTGTAGTTTTCTTCAGGAAATTTGGGCGAATTGTCATTTACATCTAAAATCTCCACTATTATTTTATGCATTTCAAGGGGGTTTTCAACAACAGCCTTCAGGTTTGTGATGCATGGCACTGTTTTTGCGCACAGCTCCTCCCTGTCGACTCGCTGGTTCACGAATAAGCCTCCATCTCTCGGATTTACCTGAAACAGATCTTGCTTTGTTCCTGACACGACACGGAGGTTCCTGGCGGTCAGTTTTCCGAGATCTAGCCCAAGGTCTTTTGCAATATTCCCCACTGCCGTCCCTGATTTCAATTCTTCCTGAACAGAATATCGTATTTGAGCCGAAATTCTATCCAATTCCGTTATGATGAGCAGCGCCAGACAAAAAGAAACACGCACATCGTTCCACTTTCTTTTGATGTCCGTCATCTCTATTGTTTAGAAAAGGGCTTACTTGAATTCTTCAGTAAATGCTGTGGGAATTTCAGTTTCCTAGTGATAAAAACGAATAAAAAATATCTGTGTGAACCCTCATTGTTGCCCCAAGAGAAAATGAAGGTAGTTTAGTCCGGTCTTTCGCCCCTCTGATTGAACTGACACTGAACACACAAGTAGAGAGATTATTTACCCCCACTCACATCGCTGTTGAGATCTGAAATCTAACAGCGCCACCCACCGTCACTGCTGTGATCCTGCAGAGAAGACAAACGTTTCCTTTCCGTTTTGGCCTGTGTGGAACACAGCTCCATGACAGTTCGTGTTGCATATTCAGGAGTAGAAATAATTAGCAGTAGTACTACCATATAGATATAACTATTTTTATTCTACTCAAATTGCTCAGATAAATGTTATTTTAAACTAACCTTTTTCAGTCAATGCAATATTGATCTATCTTTCTCTCAGCATCTAAGTTTGGTTGTTGGAGAACTCAGAGAGTACCAACATTTCTGAGCAGTTTTCATTTTCTGGCTTACAACTAGTGGCTTTTTCATTAACATTATTTATTTTATTTTTTTTCGTTCAGTAATAGAAATAGTTATTTTTATTGTGATTTTCAAAACTGAATAGAATGTGTCACATCTGTACTTTTACCAGCTTTTTTATGGTGGCTGTTTTCATAGGAGTGATTTTTTATGATTATATATGAATGACTTCATGGCTTGTTATAGTGTTTATTGTTTAACTGACTGTGGAATGCACTTTCTTCATGCTTTCATCCTCTAGTCAGATCAGCACACTCCCACAGTATTCATCTTTTTTCAGAGGTGAACAGCGACAGCGTCTGGATTAAAGCAGGAAGTGCAGCTGAGCTCTTGTGAGTATCATTCATTGTAGATGTATTTTTTCCCTGCATTTCTTCTGGCAAAACTCTCACCATAGCACAACATCTAATGCAGAATCTATATTAAAAAAAGAAAATCATGATGATTCTCCGATCAGTTGTTAAATTAGGTGACCTACATACATTCTCATATTTTCACACCCCTCCCGTCTGCATCTGCTACGCAATAGTACTGGATTTGGGCCAAGCATGTATGTGCGCATGTGCAAGCGCTGCCGCATGCTGCATCGCCCCCACCCATTTTCTGAATCAGTCTATATCCATCCTCTCCGCAGCGATGACACGATGACCTTTATTATCATTATTATCCAAACAGATATTCATTAGACCGCGATGGCGGTAGTTCTCTGCAAAAAAATATCATCCGATATCAGCAAGATGTGGATGCCACACCCTGGGGAATGAGGGGGGCTTGTCGGAATTTCAAATTACAGGCAAAGCTCCAGTGAACTGGAGACAAGTCACCATGGCAACGCAGCTCCTCTAGGCAGGTCGTTGGCCGGGGTGCTGAAGACAAGCAGGCGCAGAGGAAAGCAGAGGGGGAGGGATGCAGGAGCTGTGAATTCTACACACAGATGAACTGATTTCCTAACACATTTGGTTTTCTAAAACACGTGCTTTCCGGTTCACAATCATGTCCATTAACAAATAATCACTTGATCATAATGCAGGTGAATATGTTTATTTGCAAACAGCATACTTGCTTAAAAAAATGTAACTATTCTTTACATTTTTTTATTCATGCATCAGAATGTCTATTTTTAAAATAAACTGTGGCTAACATGATATCCAGAAATCAAACAGCTGATATAGAATGCACAGGTTTGTGGTGGGCATCTGTGCCAGCTGGTGGTTGCTCTGGTCTTTTGTTACACTCTGCTGCATTGCTGTGTCATGCATCTGTGTGCTCGTCTGTCAACAAAGCAAAGTAGCCGACAGGAGTATTAAAGATACAGGGGCCCTTGTTTATATCTTCTGACATATCTTGAGAGGCTAAACATTTTTGTTTGGTTTAAATTTCACAAAAAAACATATTTCCACGAATACAGACAAAAAAGACAAAAGAAAGACCCACCCTTATTGTGTGTGCTCACATGACCTCATCTCCCCTGAGAGATGAGGTCATGTGAGCACACACATTCACTGAGCCACCTTTTGGAAGTATGTACTACAAGGCCATGTTATATGAAAGACATGAAAGACAGCGTTTTGAAAAAAGCCAATATTCTACAAATTGTGATCAAATGCATATTTACAGCTTCAAACCTAGTAAATTAATTGGATTGGAATTTACTTTACATTTCAGGCAAAATGTGGCTGTTTGGTTTTTCCTGCCCATGCAGTTTAAAACAGCAATTCTGTGGGATAAAGAAGACATTGTTTCCTGTGATTCCTGCAGGCGGTACAACAGAGGAACTTACTGGAGCCAGATCCCACTGCCACCACCCTTGGGAGACGCGTCGTCATCAACTTCCTCAGATCCCTTTCTTTGGAACAGTCTTTGTCACTTTCACACAAATCATGTATTATTTATATTCTTCAACCTGAAACTTTTATTTAAACTCATTTGATCCCACAACTGAAGTAGAGGTGTGAAATCATAACCTCTTATGATTGCCATGTGGAAGGATAACCTAAATGCTTTTTACAAAGAATGACAATATCCAAGTACTGAGAACTTAGGGACTTTTACAAAATGAAAAGAAACAATAAAACATTTTTAGCTTAATAGTATTTCTTATGTTTTGGTGAGTTATAATTTTCAAATTTTTCAGTTTCATGTGCTTTAAAGTGAACTTCATTGATTTATAAAGACAAAGTCTGATAATCCACACGCTATGTTACATTTGTCAACTTTGACTGAAAATTACTTGTTTAATTGTAAAAAGCATAATATTTTTG